GGTCATGGGGTTGTTCAGATTAGTTGTGACAAGATCTTACAAGGCTGTTATGTTTCGGAATGGATGTTTTATGGTCTTGAAGTGGTACAATTAAAAAGTTTAGGTGCTAAATAAGCATGAATCTTGTCTCTGGGCAAGAGACGACGATAGGCCAAAGACCCTCTGCTGCTCGACAGGATCCTGTTCACATAGGGACTGGCCTATGAGAACGCAAATGAATAAGAAACAGAGATGTCATCAATGCAAAGTAACATAGGTAAGGGATTGTGTGTGGAGTTAATTATGACAAAAAGCACAATTAATTTTCTTTAGGCTAAATAAAGCTGAATTTGTCATTCTTTCAGAAGGTGTTTCTCTGTCACCTTTCTTAGGGTTAAAAAAAAAACACCCCAAAACTGAAGACTTGGCAGCATTAATTAGAATAGCATTTCTAGTGAAAGATGCTCTCCAACCTCAAAACTTAGGGGTGTGCGTGTTCAGTTATGTTTAGAAAAGTATGAACTTTCAACCCTGTTAAATATATGGGTGTGCTAACTATCAACAGAGAAGACAACTGGATTTATATAGAGGCATCTTTTAAATGTTAAGTATTTTAGAGTGGCAAAACTGAAGTGGGATAGCACTTTTTTTCTTAATATATTAATATATTTTCAGTGTAATTAGGAACCAGATAAGGAATCTGTCAGCAGGGGGAAGTTCATAACTTCCTGGTACTAGCTAGCTTTTGTAGGTTTTGGTTTTTTTTTCTTATGGTTACTGTTCTGTAATGTAACATGATAATAAAGAGGAAGCTCGTGAGTGGTTTTGTCTCTGTTAGAATCTGTAAGAGTCCTAGGTGGATTACGGCTCTCTAAAGTAGAAATGTGTTCACACTTTTGGTTATTTTAGATAGAGCTAGAATGTGCTATAACTAATCTTCCACCATAGTCTCTTCTGGCTGAGGTGTTGCAGGAGGTTATAAGCATGCAGATTGTCTGTGCTTGCTTCTCAGAAATGGCTATTGCTGTGGAGGATGTAGGGTCACCAGCGATATGTACAGAGCAGTGATACCAAAGGGCAACACTTCTCCCAGCTGTGTCTCATTGCAGTCACCTCGGATCATACGGTTTCGGGCGATACTTTCACATCTTCCACAACAATCCACAGCTGCTTGGCTTTCACATGCAGATGTTGCTGGAGAGTCTGTTCACAGGGTACTCCTAGTTGAGCAAGAAGGTTACAAATTGTGTAGTCCCTCCAGAGCCTGCTTCCTTTGAGCAAAGGAACCTACGAACCCTTGATCCCGTTGTTGCTTTGCTTGGTGGCGGCATGTCACACTTCCTCCCTAATGGCATGGGCTGTGTTAAACTTTAAACTATCCCACATTGCTTATCACGTAGAGGTCTGATGGAGGTGTTGTTTGGGGTTGTCCTTTTGTTCCTTTTTGTATTGCTCGAAACAGTTTAGAATAAAGCAGCCTTCATTTCTTCAATGAGTAGAAGCTGGTTGAACTCTTGGAGCTGTTACTGCTTTTACCTATTTTCCTTGCATATGTAATTGGGACATTTGATCTTCTGTATTTTTTAAAAATTATTTAGTGTGGTATTCAGGGCATGGGGGGAATAAACAATAACAAAAAGAACAAGAGGCAGGTTGTAATACAGAATCATAGAATGCTTTGGGTTGGAAGGGACCTTTAGAGGTCATCTAGCCCAACCCCCCTGCACTGAGCAGGGACATCTTCCACTAGACCACCTTGCTCAGAGCCCCATCCAACCTGGCCTTGAATGTTTCCAGGGATGGCACCTCCACTACCTCTCTGGCATAATGTTTCTATTGCTAGCATGTGTATAGGCAATTACAGGTAATTACAGATGCGAATTAAACTCTTAAGCACTTAGATGCAGGATTAGCTAGATTCTTGGTTTTCTTCTTTTTTGGATGCTTTTGTGAGTAGTTGTGGGCATGTAGGTAGTGTGAGTAGCCATGCGTTTCTCTTCCAGCATTAATGAAAGAGAGTTTGGTTTTTGGCATAGCTCATATTTATTTGACAAACACAGCAAGACCTGAGGAGGACAGGTCTTTAGGAACTGTGTGGGAGCCAACAGACCTCTGTGTGTGAGAGTAGATTGTGAAATAGTTAAGCCATGCCACTTCACAAGCATGTTGCTGATTTGCAGAAATAGGGAACACTGAGCAGCCCTCCACTTCACTGCAGAGTGCTGATAATACCTTTAGTTCGCACAAACACTTTTGTGTGTTTCCTCTCTACACAAGACATGATGACACCGATAATCACGGAAATATGATAGTGTGATTCTTAAATAGAGTGAGAGAGAACCAAGATAAAATGAAGTTTAATGTTTACTCTCTGGAGGCTACTGTGTCATTGAATTTTACTTTCCCACAAACACACCTGCTGCTAAGTAGTGGGTTTGCCTTCAGTGACACTTGTTCCAACCACAGCCCCGTAAAGATCGCTGAGCCCAGAGTTTTAAAATAAAGTGCTCTTAATAGGTGAGCAAAAAGCCCTCTTAAGCAAGTATTAGTAGAGCATGAAGGGAAATTATTGGTTAAAGCAGAGAGAGTTAAAGACTTGAAGTGATTGCTGTTCGAAACTACTGTAGAACACAAGGCTCCAGCTAGTTTTGACAAATACAGAATGTATGTGGGTGTACTGTGCATCTGGTTAGAAGCTATGTAAGCACGTGCATCACTGAAGTAAGGTGATTAGTAGTCATTTTGTTGCAATTTTGTCATTATAACTTCTAAAATAGTTTTTTAATTTAGTACGTGGATATGTGTCTTTATTTGTGGCATACTGTGTTATGTAGGAACAGAAAAGTGAGATTGTTTTCTCTCCTCAATTGCATGATGGAAATGGGAGGCTGACTGATACGTGGCAGTTGCTCCTCACTGCTAGCAGAAGTCCTCTGTTGTCTGGTGCTGGACTGTGCTGATAAATACAATAGCATAAGTAAATACAAGGATGAAAGTTAAATAGCCATACGCTGGTGTGTGAGACTGGTTTTATGAGAAGCTCAAACTTCTCTGTCTTTGAAACCAGCTTTTTGTCATTTCTAGGCTTTTTTGTTATCAATTTCTGTCCCCCAACACTTTGTTGGACATGCTTATTTTCCAGAAAGAGAAAATACGCAAAGCTTATCCGAAGGACAGTGAAATAAAAGCTGGGAAGTATCTAGGAAAAGGACCATCCTTGTAAGTAGCTGGACCTAGAGTAGTGGCTAATATGTAGTTAGTGTGACAACTCATGTTCTATTTTCAAAATTATTTAAAATCTACTTGACGTTAGGTGATCAGTTTAGGTATTGCATTTTGATAAATTGTTAAAAAGGAATATAGAGAGTCCTAAACCGTAGTTCTCAAATGTTTGGCACCAAGCACAGGCTGAAGTTGAAATGTATTGTGCCTTTGTAAAAGGCATTCAAGATTTGAAAAGGCACAAGTTGTTGAAGACAATTTCAGCATCAGACCTACTTTCTCATACTGCTATTCCACAATTGTCTGTAGGTGTGTTACAGTTGAAATGCGTTCAGGTCAGACCAAGGTAACATCTTGGAGATGCAGTTCTTTCCATTCCTTCTCTACTTAATTACTTTATCTTTTAGGTTATGATATGCTCCTACTTTAGCGTGAACTGCTGCAGCACTGCAAGTGTTTTGCGGTCAAGAAATCTGAGGCATAACGTTCAAGCTTTGTTGGCAGATATACCGAAATCTTTTATTATGAACTTAAGATTGGAGTCCACCTCTTTGCCAAAACTCAGATTCTGTGGACCTTAGGCTGTATAGACCGTGGGTAAAAGGAAGTAGGGGATCTTTTACCCTCTTAGTGCTTTCAATATATTTAATAACTGTTTTGCTTATTATGTTGAAGTCCAAGCACTTTCTTCAGTGCTGTGTCGCAGGATGTTGCCTGTCATGTTTATATGTGATGCTCAATCTTGCTTGAGTAGGATGCTATTATATGAAGATGACAGAGAGATCAATAGACATTTCCATAAGCTACGTTCTTCTGATCGTGCAGCACCATGATGATTCAACTTTTACAATATTTGCTTACCCTCTGTTACTTGTTTTTCACATGCCATCCCACTGTTGTCACTGTTTGACTATCCTGTTTGTTCTTCTCAGTGAGATATATTAAATAGCTTGTTACTGTCTGGCAATAAAAAAATCACTTGAAATGTACTTATGCTCTTGTCTAACACACACAGGCACACCCCACCTCCTCCCCCCCAGTTAAGAGTTCTGCTGTCTTTTATTCTTGTCTATCACTCCTGTTTCCTGAAAACCTCTTTTTCACAACTGCCCAATAGCTTTTATTAAGGTTTTGTTGTCTGGGTAGATACTGCCACTAGAAGCTAGCCCTGTGGGAGGTGGGCAGCTCAAGATGTAGAATTCAGTATCAGCAATCAGGTATTTTCTGAGCCCACAGTAATGACATTCAACCCAGTAGGGGGTGGTTTGGTTTTTTTATAATTTGCAGAGTTTCTGCTTCACTATAATAGGAACTAAATCAATTCTAAGGAAACGTCTTTACTTTCAGAGGACATTTAAGAGAACATAGTACTTGACAGTACCTGTACTTTGAGAGGACAGCCATCCCTACAAGTGCATTATAATTAAAAATATCAACCATTCACTCATAATAATGGTTTATTTTCTGTTGTATAAAATCTTCTTTTGTCAGACACATATTCTATAATAACTAAAAGAAGCTAAGTTCTAGGTGAGATGGGGGGGAGGGCATGCTTTGCTAGTTACTTAAATGGCATTGATACCTGGAGGCTTCATTTAAATCTGTTCTCTCCCCTCGCCCTCCACCTTCAATGTGTGCATGTACATAAAAAGGAGAGTAGGTTGTCTGAGAAAGTAGACCAAGTGGAAAGGTGGTAATGTCAATCAAAGAAGAGTCTACATATTCTAATTCTTGCATCTTCCGCTGCTTTTTAAGTAGACAATAGTCTACTAACATTGAAAATGTTTTGTTTTTCAGGTGGCCATGAGCCCTATGTTGAAATATTTGAACAACCCAGGCAAAGGGGTATGCGTTTCAGATACAAATGTGAGGGAAGATCAGCAGGCAGCATTCCAGGAGAACACAGTACTGAAAACAATAAGACATTCCCTTCCATACAGGTAAATACTGCTTTTATCCATTAATTACCATTACCCACATGAACATTGTGCTATAGCTACAAGTTGGACTCAGTGCACTAAGTGAAATACTTTTCGTGTTCTGTTACTCTTTTTGTTGACGTGCAGATATAGTTGCAACAGAGTGGAAAAAGAGTTCTTTGCTCCTAGTCATTAAAGAGATGAGGAGAAGTTATAGAGGTAGTTAACAAAGTTCTGGTAGAGAGGGAACTCAGTGAAGTTATTAACTGTCTGGGTATCATTAATTATTAGCTTTTTCTGTATGCACATTTGTTCTGGTATCTTAGTTATGTGGCTTGGGTTTGTTTTTACTATTTGGACTGTAGTATGAATTTTGGGAGAGCTTTGAAGGAGTTTGTGTACAAAATTTGAAAAGACTTTGAAAAGCTGCTGTGCGCAACATGAAAGAAGACACTTTGTACAAGTGAGCAAAGTAAGAAAGTGACTTGCAGCCAGTGATTTGGTGATTAGGCTCTGCTAAAGAAACTGCCGTGAAGTATGTGAAGTCAGAAGGGGATAAAGAACTTAAAAATGAGCTGAGGGGAACTATGTGGTCAGATCATCTGCAATGAAGATGAGTTGGGTGGTTGCAGTATGGATAGGTTGGGAAATCCAGAATGAAGGGATTCAGAGTAGCTGTAGCAGCTATGATCAAAGTAAGGACAAAGATACAGACAGTAGAGGTGGAATGGAAGCGCTATGGCAGTACCTTTTATATGTGGGACAAAGGAATGTGTCAGAGATCCTAGACAGGTAGGGTAAAGGGGAAGAATTTCTGGTCTCTTGTTTGAAGTTTAAGGTGCTACTGTTTCCTTGATCTCTTTCAATTTGGAGAGGATCTTTCAGAGATGGGATTAGAAGAGAGCACTAAAATATAAACGGGAAGTTAAGAGTACTTACCATCTTGAAGTACATTACAGTGCCCAGGAACAGAAGCTGTGTATCTGTTTGCAGTGTGTGCAAGTATAAAAAAAAAAATAAATGGAGCCAAAGATTGAGTATCTGAAATCACAGCAGAAAAAGAACAGACATCTGAAAAATATGGGATGTTTTAGGCCAAGGCACAAAAATTCTTTTGGGAGAGGGAGAGTTTGAGAAAGATGGTATTGGCAGTCACGTGTTGAGCAGCAGAGTGAGCCTCCACTACATAAAGCAACTGTGGAAGCTGGTCTAGCCCTGAAGCCGGAATTACTAAGGGAAGAAGCAAACACAAAGATCCCCCCCTTGCTTGTCACAGTGTCAGATTTGTTAAAGGAATGCAGGAAATAAAAGATCTTGCCAGGATTTTTTTTTTTCAGCACTCTGCCAGTTGAACAAGGAACTAAGTAGGCTGCTGGCAGGACTAAATACTTCCACAGACTCTCAGCCTAAGTTTGTGTCAGGGCACACATTGAACAGACAGTGTGAGCCCTTGATTCCCCTTAGCCTGGACCCAAAGGGAAGATGGGACATGGAGGGTGACTGTGCAATCCTGGCCGTAATTTGTTGTTTTTTAAAGGTGACTGTTGGTGACAAAGCTGATTGTTACCGATAGCAGGTGATTTCTAGGTGAATTCCTGCCTCCCTGAGGCCTGTAGGAGGCTTTAGTGCGGATTGGCTGCTAGGGGAGTCCCCTCTAGAGATGGAAACGTCAATGAGGATGGGAACAGGGAGGCCAGGAAGCAATTAGATTTCGTGGTGTGGTTGAGCTGAAGAACATCGAAGAGGAACTGGAGAATCAAAAGTGGCTAGATAAGACTTCAGGTTCAAGGGACTGGATGTGAAATGAGAGAGAAATGATGTAATAGTTAGAGGTGAAGGAGTGGTGGAAGTTTTATTGTAAGGGTGAAAAGTAACGGTGGTTTGTATAAAGGCCGAGAAAGTAGCCAAACCGAAGACTGAAGAAGCTAAGAGGTGATATGAGCTACAGGAGCAGAGGTCAAGTCAAAGGTTTGAGGTGTTGGTGAAAAGGATGTATGATGGATTCTTGGAGTCTAAGGAGGAGGAAAGAAAGGGCTGAAGGAGGAGAGGAACAGTTAGTTACAGGGCAGGGGAAGTGGAGGAGGAGAGCTCGCCTCTGCACAAATGTGTGCCTGAGCGAGTCTTGTATTTGATTTCAAGTTGTTAAGCTTCAAACAATTTAGGCCAAACTGTTCTTTTTTTTCTTTTTTTTTTTTAATCTCTCACCCACACAACCCTTGGTGACTTCACTGGTAGCTGTCAGCATGAGGGAAGACTTTTATGGACCTGAGAAACATGTGTTGAATTAGGCTGATGACTGTTATGAAGCCCCTAGTAGGAGCTTGAGAATTCAGTGCCCCCCTTCTTGAACACAAGATTGAATATTCATCTGAGAATTAATTAAAAAAAAAAGACTTCATAGGAGATTATGTCATGCTGTATCCGTTAAGATCCTCTTTTACCACTTAGTGTTTGTGCGCAGGTAATATCCTTATCCCTGAGGATTTAGGAGCTTTTTCCTAAGGTATTTGGAGCTACACCTGTCCTTCAGTAAGCATTTGTGTGTGGTCACCTGTGTAGAATTTTGCGTCTTTCATTGTAAGGCTAGATATGATAATGAAGTATGTCTTGTTGCATTTGGTCTTACAACATTGCAAGCTGGTTTAGTCTCAGGTCTAAGCTTCTGTACTACCTCTGGCCTTTTGCACAGGGGTGAATTCAACTCGCATAAAGAGCCCTGGCAAGATGATGAAGCAACAGATCTTCAGCCTCAAAAAAAAAAAAAGGAACTGGGAGAAGATTCTTTAAATTCTTTCAGACTTCCTTCCCATTCTTGCAGTAGGCTAGTTTAAGAGAATGGAATTGATTGAGCGTTGAATACTGGCACCAATGAAATGTTGTAATTACAAATAACCAGCTTCTTTGGTAAAAATAGCAGGTGAAGTATGTTGTTTTACTTTCTCAAATAGAGGAGATACACTTTTGAAAAAAAAAATCCACTTTTAAAATATTTTGCTAAATAGTTGGGTTTTTAGTGTAAAATGAACAGAACTGAAATGGAATGAACAAAACTTCTGAACAGTCCTGGCTTTTGTGAAGTAATAATATTTTCTTAGCTGTATAGGTTATTTTAGGATAAAATGTATTTTCTGTTACATGTTGGGGACTTTACTACCCCTGGTATCTAAAATCTAGAAAATGTCTGACATTTTTTGTAGATTCTGAACTATTTTGGAAAAGTCAAAATAAGAACTACATTGGTAACAAAGAATGAACCCCACAAGCCACACCCCCATGATCTGGTTGGAAAAGACTGCAGAGATGGCTACTATGAAGCAGAGTTTGGGCCAGAACGGCGAGTCCTGTCGTGAGTAATGGTGTTGCCTGGGATTTCAATTAATTATGCAAATAATTTGCTAATCTTATGCTTTAAAATTCTGAGTGGTGACTAAAAGGGCAATTAGTATGCTGCCTTTGCTGAGGTTTACTGGTCCATCTCAGAGAGAGGGCAACTTCTCTTTGAAGTATTTTCTTCATTTTTAATACTTCACACACTCATCTTTGGTCCTGTTCTTTTCCTAGCACCCTTTTCTTTCCTTTATTAATTCTCCAAATGTCTGTCTCCTTTTGCTTTCTCCCACTTGTTTGCTTTATTTTCAGTCTTGTTCAGTAACATTTCTTACTCTTGAGCGTGACACTCTCCTACATGTAAAAATGATGAGCAATAGAATAGGTAACAACAACATTAGAATTAGTACTTTCATGGTGATAAGAGATTTAGGGAAGTTCTTGTCTTCCATGGGAATTACGTTTGGCCTTTCTGGAAGCTAGGGGAGAAGGTTTGTGCTGGCTAAGTATCGTGTCATTTAAAAGATAATGGTTGTGGCGCATCTAGAAACATGTTAGTAGCTGTCACTGTTGTTTGTTTGTTTGGGTTGGGGGTTTTTTGAGTAAAATACAGATTCTGCTCAGGCCCAACTCTGTAGAGTAAGCATACCGGGGAAGGATCTTCTTGTGGATGCAGTAAGGAAAATTCAGGCTGTGTATGAGGTGTGTTTCTCAGTGCTATTTGGAGGCATATTAAAAATATCTAAAATACAGTTGTATTTGATGGCATTTCCTGTAAGTTTACTGAGTCTAGTGTAATAAAGTAAAAGCAGAATAAACTGCAACAAGTGTTGAGTGATTATTGCTGGAGAGGGGAATTTAGAATCGACAAGCTGTTTGTGGTTCATAATTTGCAATGTAGTAAATTTGGAAGTAGGTTGTTGCTTTGCGGTAAATATAACTGAGCTGGGTATTTCAGTGTATAAGTAGCTCTTAAGCACTGCTCTCAGGCTGCTGTGATTCTGTTCATGTTAGTGAAATTACTCTAATTTACGTAGATTTAGTCAGTAGAACACTATTAAAGGAGAGAACTGAAGACACAGTCTGTTTGAAGATGATGATTGCCTGATGGTGAAATAAAACAGTTGTAATAGTGGAGGTGCTTCTTCAACATACAGCCCAGGCTCAAGTGATCATCAATGTGCTGCAGTGTGTTCAGGTGGCACGCAGCACATTGACTGTACTGTCTTTTGCTGTTACAGATGCAAGAAGTGTAATTGGTTTATTGTTTTTAGCTCTGTTCGCAATGCTGTCCTAATTAGCAACTGGTAGAAAAGGACCTATAACTTTTCTCCCACTGTCCTACCTCTAGAAAGGTAGGGCTTGTCCCTTCAGGCACTTACCTTCCATCTTGGTTGTTGTAACCTCACCCTCATCGGCTTCCCTGCAAGAAAGAGTTCCCCTTCACATTGTCTAAAAGGCAGTTGTGAATATATTAACGGTTGAGGGACCTTGCACCCGCTTCCCCTTTGTCTTCTCAAGTTAAGCTTCGTCACCAAGGTCAAAGGATGTGTGCCATTCTAGCCCATCCCACTTCCTGCTCTCAGCTCTGTGCCTTCTGATCCAAAGCAAAAAGCCCGATTGCTTAACACCTTTTCTGGTTATGTGTTACGTTCACTGGGTGCAGGAAGAGACTGATGATTGCTTTTCCTCTTGGCATTTTGTTACACAAGGTGAAGTGTGTAGGCACGAGGCCATTACAGGATGTAATGCCAAAAAGGAGTGGAATTCTCTGCAAATATTTATTAGCAAATTTTTATTTCATCTCCATTATGTGCATCCATCAAATCCTGGTTTTTGACATAATGTTGTGTCGCCATTTCATTTAAGGCACTTGTGATTGTTTGCTGTATACATGAATTCTTCACAGGATCATTAGGTTATAAGCCTCTCCGTTTCTTACAGAATAGCAAGTGGGCTGCTTTCACTTTACTGATAATGCAAAACTGTGAGCTTCAGTTGAGCTTGACATTGGAGATCATGATGAGAGGAGGCTAGAAATATTCTCTTTGAAATGTTCCCAACATCAGTACGCTCTTTTTTTTTTTTTAGCAAGTCATTGGTTGCTTGAAGAAGAAAGAACAGTATGATCCATAATTGGTTCTGGATGTTTAAAGTAATTTTCCTTTTTGTGGCTGGTGACTCAGTCTTCACATTCTTCTCTTCGAGTCCATGTTGGAGAAAAGCCTCACACAATAGTAGTGAGCAGGAGGTGTCCTCTATTGGGAGTGGTTCTGGCTGTTTACTCTTTCTGATCATTCCAAATGGAGGAAAAATACAATTAATTTTTTTTTTCCAGAAGTGGAATTAGTAATCCCAGATCTTGGGTTGATCAGAGTAATTACTCTGCTTTCTGCTTGTTTAAAGTTCCCCATGTAGTTCTGGTTGAACAAAGTATTTTGTTCTGCCTGTGGTGTAATAATCTTTGTACTGCTGCGTAAGCTTCGTCAGAGCCCTCCCTGGCCAAAACGTCAAGGCAAAAGTATGAGTGTTGGAGTGTCTGTGACTGCTCTCAGATTTTTACTTGGTAGTTTGCTATCTCTCTACAGGGATGATATCATAGTTTTTTAAAATGTCTTTCTCTTTTTTTTCTCTCTTCCTACTTCTCTCTCTCTTCTTGTTATCTTGCTTGCTTCCTGTCAGCTAGTGTTGATGTGAAACCCCGTGGCCTTGCTGAGGTTCTCGACAGTTTCTTCTCTGATCCATCCCTCTGTTTAGCAATAGTTCAATAGACACTTTCACTGTTTAAGGAAATCTTTATAATCTGTGAGTTACAGCGTCTCTAAAAGCCTAGTTACTCTCCGTGAGAGGCTTCCTTCACAATGGTTGAAAGGTGCAAAGTAATGGCTGTCAGTCCTTGGGTAGAGCTTTTGTTCAAGGCTGGTTCTGCATACATGCTTGCTTGGCATCTGTGACTTCTGGTGGATGGCTGGAGAGCCTGGAACTGCCAGATGGCAATTTGGGGGTATAATATGGAACCAAAGTCCATGGACTTTGAAGTGTGCTTCGTACTGAATCTGTGGAATACAGTGGGTATTCTGCAGGGGGGAAGTGATAGGTGCTGTGATCAAGCCCTAAAAAAAAGTACTACCTACAAAAGAATATAGCCATGATATGAAGCCAAAGTGCTTTAGTGAATTATGAGATGCTACTGCATTTTATTTTTCTCCAGGTCACTGTATCAAGCTCAGGTTCAAAAAGGAAGCCTCTGAATTTCTCTAGTGAATAAAGGTTCTGGAAGTGGAGCCTGGTTGCAGAGGATTTGGGAACCTCTGAACAGACAGTGTTGGGCGCAGGCAAGGGAGTTTAAGAAAATTAGCCGTAACATGTTGCTAGGATAGTCTTATTCACAGCAGGGAAATGTAGAACTATTCTTGAGAGTGTTGGCAGGAACAAGGAGTATCTTTAGGTGCATTAAGGTGGGTTTTTAGGCATAGCTAAAGCAAAGAACTTTTGTGGAGTTTCAATGGAAGTTGCTGGTACTTCTGGAGAAAAATGCTTGTTGGCCCAACCTGTCTTCCGAGTTTGTTGTAACATCATGAAACACGGATTTTTTTTTTTTTACACTTCCTGCTTTACATCCACTCAGCTTTGATGTGATGTCATGGTTTTTCCATGTGGGAAAGA